AAAAAAACCCCAAACCCCCCCGGAGAATTTTCTATTTTAAAATTTTTTTTTTAAAAAAAAAAAAAAAAAAAAAAAAAAACCAAACAAAAAAAAAATCCCACAGATTTAGTTTAACCAAATATATTGCTAAACTCTACTTCTGATCTCACGATCTGGCTGGAATGCTAAGATCGTGACGTCTCAACCGGTCACAACAACATCACTGACTTCAGGCTATTTTTCCAACGTCTGGTTTTTGCAATAATTAGTCATTGGACTCTTCTCATACCAACAGCCAGGTCTCTTCAGGTGTGCTCCGCCGTCTTTTACTCGGGGTCACACGCTGCGCCGAAGCCCCGCTTTGCTTCCCCCGCTCTGCAGGACCAGCCTTGTGATCGAGTCGAGCGGAGAGCCGACGAGAAGTCACTCAAGTCAACCTCTCTTGCCTCTAATGAGCAAAGTGTCCGGCGGAGGCCACATCCGAGACAGCGTGCAGTCTCTCCTCAACACACACACACACACACACACACACACACACACACTAAAGTAAGTGGGTCCCGAGTGAACCACAAACACCTTCAGTGGGGATGAAACCGGAGGATTTCAAGCAAACTCCAATCTGCCTTTGAGTAACTTTAAAAGGTCTCACAGTGTTTGGATTGAAGATTGAAGAGAAAACCGATGTGTGTGCGTGAGAGTGTGTACGGTTTGAGAAAGGAATTGGCTTGTCGGACCAGACGGGGAGCCGCCATCAAAATCTCCCCTGGTCTATCTCAGTCCCTCAGCCCTCTACTTAAGACCAAAAGCAGTGAAAAAAGCGATGGAATGTTAGATAACAAGAGGAGGGGGAAAAAAAGACAAGGAGACACTGAGAATGGAAGATGGAAAGTGAGAGGAACAGCAGTGTGGAAGCCCCCTCAGCATGTATGCTGCCTCTCTCCCATCGTGTGGTGCGGCAGGCCAACCCTTCTCAGCCTATTCAAAGCGAGTGTGTGGTAGCTCAGGAGATTGTGTGTGTGTGTGTTTCTTCATAGATGTCCTTGAACAGAACCCCCTCGGCTCTGCGGATCCCTGCTGCCACTGGAGAACATTTGACAAGCAGCAGGCTCTTGTTAGAGCGCTGTCAAATTAAAGGTGTGTGTGTAAGGCTGAGGCTGTGTGAGGCATTGTGTGTGTGTGTGCGCGCGCCTTTCAGAGGCTCTATTCAGAGCCCTGTCAAATTAAAACTACCAAACAAACTGTGCGTGTCACACAGACAGGCCAGGTCCTGCCTGTGATGGCAGCGGTAGGCTCAGGGCTGCTTTGTCTGTGTTCATGTGTGTGCATAAGTGTAAGGAAAAAAAAAGACTTTTCAGCAGGATTCCTAGTTAAAAAATTTATTCATATATATATATATATATATATATATATATATATATACATATACACACACACACACACATCCTTGACTTGTTTGCTAAAAAAACAATTGCATACATTGTTGTGGAGGCAGAATCTGAAGGGTTTTTGTGTTCAAGTAAAACACGCGTGCACACACAGTCGACCTCGGCGAACTGAAGGCTCCCTGTGGAAAATGTCGCCTTATTACACAGCAGACATGGCGTCGCTTTTTCCGAACATGAGCAATCTGTTACTTTGCACGACTGAAAACAAATATGTTCGATTAATGCGAGTCTTTTTGCTTTAATTCAGAAACTAATGAAAAAAAAAAAATGAAAAAAAAAAAAAAAAGCAACGCAGGGGAGATGCAATGTACATCAAATGATAAATGAAGATTAAAATACAAGCGTCCACAGCGGGCAGGGGGCCCCGACACAGATGTATATGCAGGCGCTCTTTATCTGCGGAGTCTGCATCATTTATAGGATGTCCAGCTGTGTGTTGGGGTGTGTGCAGGGGCCTTTCACGGTGTCAGCGTCCGCAGTGGCTAAATGTTAGCAAAAGACAAATGTTTCAAGTCTTTTTGTTAGCTGTTTAACGTCTATGCTTTTGGGTTTTGTAGCTCCCACTCACTGTGGTTAAGACTTCACATTAACAATAATTTATTTCATTTTATGTTTAGCTGTGTGGCGCTTTGCAGAAGTGTCCACACAGCCTAATCACAGATTCTTGATTGTCTTCATATATGTCTGAACATTCTTTGATCTAAACCTTTCAATTGAAGCTCTGGCTTTTAGCTTTCATCTCAAGACGTTTTCCTTTCTCCATCCATCTTCTCTTCAACTCAGATCACCTTCTGAATCTTGTTCCAAGTATTCCCACAGTATGTTGCTGCCACCGGAATAGCCGTCTTCATGAGACGTTCACACGACAACAGATGGTCTTGAGTCAGAGGCTTCTTCAGACTCATTGCAATATAGACGGCTACAGGAGGATCCCTCTTGGCCACAGACAACAGCATCTACAATGTGAGTCAAAACAACATTTAACGTCTCTTTGGGATTAATACTGTATTTTTTTTTAACCGAAGTGAATCAAAAGGAATCAATTTACTTTGTTCCAGGTGATGTTTTATCACATGCAGGATAAAAATTTACAGTCTGAATCCAGCTCAGCCCCACACCTTCTTCTAAGACTTTCTAAGGCCTTTTTGGAGCATTATGAATGAAGTTTAAGACCTGCATCACATCAAATGTACAATACATATGCATATGTACATGCAGTAAAGATTTGCACTTACCCATGATAGACGCAAAACAGCTGGCTAGCTAACATGGGTATAATAATTCCTGTAATGGCCACCGCCTTGAGTCACAGAACAGAATGAAGGTGTCTGCGTGCGACTCAGATTTATGCCTGACAGAAAAGTCCTGCGAGAAAAAAATCCCAACAACATTGTATATGCACAGTTAAGTAATCCCAAAATTTAAGACCTGGGATTAATGTATTTAAAGCCAAGTTAATTTAAAAAAAATGGATTTAAGACATTTTAAGGCCGTAACTTTCGATGCATAAATGTAATATTTTTTAAGTGTGCAGACAACATGGATTCTCCCAGCTAAGCTGTAGCCTTGGTTGTTACTACTGGGGGGGGACTTTTAACTTTTTGGGCTCTCATTTTGACACTTAACCTTTCTTTAAACATTCCCTCTGACCCGTCTGCTGTAATCCTTTGTCTTCATGATGATGTTTGTTCACTAATTCTCCCCAACAAACCTCTGATGCCTGCACAGAAAACCTGAGTTTATGCTAGATTTAATACGCCATTTAGTAATTAGGTGACTTCTAAGGAAAAGTGGTTGCAATGAATTTCAAGAAAAAAGCAAACAACTGAGGGCGGGTGGAGGGTGAACAAAGTAAACTTAAAACACACACATTTGTTAGAAATTACAACCTGGCAAAACGTGGAAAAGCTTAAGGGACACGATTACTTTTGCGAGGCACCTGTTTTATTCTCATGCCTTTGCCTCTTTTCTGACAGAGATGTCATTTACACACGTCTCCGTTTAACCTCACAACAATATAATCTTGATTATAAAAGGCTGGGAGAGGCTGCGTGGGGCTTTTCACCTCAGATGAGTCAAATAAATTGTATTGACAGGTGGCAGGCGGGTTCAGGCGATTTAGACATTTTGACAGAGGAACTGCACGGCTCCCATCGGGAGACGTATGATTAGCTCATTTCATCCGGAAGCAGGTGGTGACAACATGCCAGCTCTAGTCAAGATGTTTCAGACTTGTACTTTTTTTTTTTTTTTTACATCAATGTCAGCTTTTAGAGGTGCCAATAAGATGCCAGTGGAAGCTGCGTTGTGTTGGTTCTGATCCATCCGGCAAACAGACAGAGAATTAACTAAAGGCAACATGCAGGGATTTCAGTTTTAGTGTTGGTGGCATCTTTGGATATTCTGCAAACAATTATTTTACATCTTTGATAAAAGACTATGATGCATGACTGACATTTTGGATCCAGGTTTGTTCATGTTCTGATGGAGCAGTGAATCTTAAGCTCTCATTCTCACTAATCATTCCAAAATGAATAAATCCTCTTACCTTCTCCTTTGTTTTTGTCAAATCCATTCAGTCAAGCTTCTAGTGACCTTGGGTTTTATTTTCAACATCAGTTCAAGACATGAAATAAACACTTGCTGGGTTTCTAGGAGTTACTCTGCGCAGATCTTCAGTCAGTATTTTCAATTTTAGAATTCAAAAATAATTAGAAACCAGACATAAACTAGATCTGGTTTCTGGAGATGTGCAAGTAAGGGGAGTATTACAAAGCCTGGATGTTTATATCAGTATTACCAGCCTATTCCTAATGTATACTTTTACAAACTAACACTCCTGCACTTCCAGAGGGCAGAAAAACGTGCAACTTTTCCCTCCATTTACAAAATGCTATGATTTACGCAGTCGCTGGAAGACTAATAACTTTAGAAGTTTTTTTTTCTTCCATTTCTCTTATCTTGTTGCAGGGAAACCGATTCATCTTAAAGAGTGATGAGGGGAGGTTGCTCTCTATGCAAAACGCATTAAAGCCAAATGAGGAGTCTATTAGTCAAATCTGCCTGATAATCCGTTTGCTAAAGGACCTCGGCTGCTAACTAAGTAGATTAAGATATGTCACTGCCACTGCGACCACCGTCACAATCCTGCACCTTTTGAGATTTTGCTCTCAAAGAAATGCGCGCCCGCAGATTTAAAATATAACACAACACAATGCAGGTTACTATGCGTTTTGTTCACACGTGGAAAAAAAAAAAAAAAAAGTGTTGATCAATTACCTCTCCTACACTGAAACAAACCACTGCAGAAGTGCATACGCACAGTTCACACCCTGGGCTCTTATCTGCATACAGTGTTTCGTCGCCAGATTCACTTCATAGTATTAATTCTCTGCACTCCGCCCACTCTGTTGTGCACGTCTGAGAAGAATGCACTGGGGACCCATGAGGAGAGCGTGTTTGTATGAACGCGGACAATTCATCACGGCTTCATTAACATTCGAGGTGTTGCCTCCCTCTCACCGCACGCGCTCCTCTGTGATGGCCCTGCAGTGATAATTACAAATAATTTATTCCTACTGGTTAATTAACCAATATCCTTTTGCACACAAGTCTTAAAAAAAAAAAAAAATGCAGAAGACATTTTGCGTAAGTACCCACACCCGAATCCACTGCTGTAATTGCTTCAACTTTGTTTTGTGCCACCGAGTGAGCTGCAGGGTTTTTTTTTTATTTATTTTTAATCCTTTATAGTTGGTCTCTGTGATGATCTTGTTCATGAAAAAAAAAAAAAAAGCCAGAGTGTGTTCACTGAGTGTCGGGGATTTAAAAAATTTCTGGACTCCATCCAAAATTATTAGTGGCCATTTAAATTCTAATAATTTTTTTAGATCTAAAAACTCCAAAGAGGTGCAAAGCTCAGCCAGGCTGAAAGATCAGAGGCTAATTTGACCAAATACTTAGAGCAAGGTCACCAAAGCAAGGAGAAGCTGATTTTAGCTGGTATTTTTATGCCTGATTTTTAAAATATACTTATATACTTGTAGTTTCTTGTGGGAAACCCACAAAAAAAAAAAAAACAACAACAACAACAAAAACCCCCAGATCTATCGGGTAACAGAAAAGAGTCTAAATCTCTGAGCACACACCTGGGAACTGCCTGAAAAATATCTGCAAGTAATTAAGTGCAAATGCTCTGATGCTGAGGAGAACGCCTTCAGAAAGGTTCATTACTGTAAAGCAGCTGTAGAAATCACTTGCAATACATTCTGCTTCCACAGCACTAGAGTGAAGTTTATACACATTTTACCGTGGGCTGACATGATTACGTTGTTTTTTTTTTTTTTTGAACTTCCCTTTTCCATGACGAGTCAACGTACAACACCAAAGAGTTGAGAAGTTTGAATTGATTTTCATATTTTGTCAAAACTAGGAAGTCGCAAATGAGTCCAAAATTGGTACATTAATCTTTGGCGATGGGAAGGCTGGATCTGCTTGGGATCTGTCTGTTGTTGGAAACCAGTTTGATCCATTTCTCCATGATCATCTTCTTGTTTTGAGGTTAGAGCCAGTCCTCCCTCAGTGTTCCATCGACCTCAGAGGATTACCCAGTAAAACCAGTATTATGCTTGACACAAGTTTGTAAAGTTTTCCTCACCCCCCTAAACATATTTCTTGTCATTGTGACCTAAATCTTTGTCTCTTCTGACCATAAAACGTTTCCGTATAAGGTATTTAGCTTCTCTATGCATACAGCCGTACCATCCATCCACACTCGAAGGGGATTAGCTTCGAATGCCGAGGCTCCTTCTTTTTAGGTTAGCATCCTCTGCTACGTTATTTGTTTGCCTTTTCAGCTGCAAATTCTGCGTCGATAATCTGGATTTCCAAAAGTCTCATCCCATCATCAGTCATGAGCAATTTCTTGGAATGTGACACAGGTGAAAAATACTCTTATTGTCTTTTAAAGCCACAAGCAATTACCTAGGATAAGTTATTCTGGGCAGGACATGCCCTGTTGGTGTGAAGCCGAGCTGTAGACAGTTGATGGCCCAGGGCAGACATCAATGTCCACATCGCTTCAGACCTTGGAGCTGGTTGACCTGTGCTGGGCCTGTCTTGTTTCCAGCGGCCGTTTGTTACTAATTAATGGACTGGAGCCCATTCTCCAGCGCTGAGTGCAACACAAACCGCATGCATTAAACATGACCCTGCCTTCATCCGCCGCCACCCCACAGAAGACAAAAAAGGTTCGAGGCAGAGTCGGGGAGCAGGGGACAACCGAGGAGCCAGCGACGCACCTGGAACACTTCCGAAGGGCCGGGGGAAAGCATTTGGTCCTTTGATTAACCCTAAAGCATAGGCTCGGATTGGCACAGGAAGGACACACAGAAGCGAAGTCGACAGGGCGTTTTGTTGAGCTCACATGTGTGCACTGTACTGCTGGAGCCCTAATTGTTTGCTCTAGGATACCTCAGAGAACATTAAAGTACTAAAAGCAGCGGGGGGAGCAGTCAGCCGTGAAGCCATTCCCAGCTTTCTATCACAACTGTTGTATGTGGTTTATCTGACATGAAAACACTTAGTGTAGCTGAAAAGAGCCTTCCAAAAGACTCTACTCGTCCTTCAGGACCGAAGGCGTCCTTGGTGGCCGTCACAACACGCGCGCATAAACACACGGAGGCGCGCACACACACAGTTTAACACGCATTAATGCATAAATTGCCATTATCTGAGCTGCCACCAATGGCAGGAGCGCCCTCACCAAGATCACCTCGGCTGACAAAAGTTAATTTGCACTAATGATGTTTTACTCCTCTCATTACCTTAAATCATCTCCTTCCTTCCTCTGCCCTCCCCTCTCGAAGCGAAGAGAGAGGAAGAGAGAGACGCAAATGGAAAGGTGCAGAAAGAGTCGCGTCCAAAGAGGACCTCGGAGAGAACGAGCCAAAGTAGG